TGCAGACAATTGGAGATTTGTTTCTTCTTTAGCGGATACTCAATGAACGAATAACTATCTTTTTGTGATTTTTTGCACAATGGGATGGTGTGTGAATGTGCATAACGTATAATATATCGACCTAAGTGTGGATACATGGGCGGGCATAATATTTTGCAATGGAAATGTGTTAATAAGAAGTGTAATCCAAGTAAATCATTTCAAATTATTAATTTTAAAAGAATTTGATAACAGCACTGCGGAAATAACCTGGTGTGAAATATTGAGGGGTGGCTATCATATTGCATTGCTTCTCATACAACGTTACTCCAATTATGAAAATAGTATTCAATTAAAATTCGGATGTAATTTATTCTGCAAACTTCAAAATAAAAAGAAGTAGACAAGTAAAAAAGAAGCTAAGATCGGCCGGGCCGAACATTGAATAACCTCCACCATTTGGAACGAATTGGCAATTCTCAAAAACAATAAAATCCGTTAAAATCTTAGAAATACCGTATGTAGCCGTTATATTAGGGTCAATACAACGACATGCACCTGCATAGGTAATGTTTTTCATAAGCCATTACAATATTCAAATGCGAAACTTAGAAAAAAAAGTCGGTGAATAATGTAACTACAGTCATCAAAATACCGATTATCGGGAGGTACCGTTATATGGAGGCTATACGAAGGCGTGGACCTGAACAAACCATTTTCTGTCGAAGGATTTAGTATTCATTGCGAACTTCATATACCAAATTTGAAACAATTCCGCTGAATAATGTCGCTAAAATCATCCAAATACCGACTATAGGGAGGTACCGTTATATGGGGGCTATACAAGGACGTGGATCTGCATACACAATTTTCTGCCTTAGGCTGTAGTATTCATTACGAACTTTAAACACTAAATTTGAAACAATTCCGCTGAATAATGTCGCTAAAATCATCCAAATACCGACTATAGGGAGGTACCGTTATATGGGGGCTATACAAGGACGTGGATCTGCATACACAATTTTCTGCCTTAGGCTGTAGTATTCATTACGAACTTTAAACACTAAATTTAAAACAATTTCGGTGAATAATGGCGCTAAAAATCATCAAAATACCGACTATAGGGAGGTACCTTTATATGGGAGCCATACGAAGACGTGGACCTGCACAGGCAGTTTTGTGTCTTAGGCTGTAGTATCCAATGCGAACTTCAAATACCAAATTTGGAAAAATTCCGGTGAATAATGTCGCTAAAAATCATCAAAATACCGAATATAGGGAGGTACCGTTATATGGGGGCTATACAAGGACGTGGATCTGCATACACAATTTTCTGCCTTAGGCTGTAGTATTCATTACCAACTTTAAACACTAAATTTAAAACAATTTCGGTGAATAATGGCGCTAAAATCATCAAAATACCGAATACAGGTAGGTACCGTTATATGGGGGCTATATGATAACATGGACCTACATGGCCCATTTACGAACTTAACCTGCCTACTGGCAAAATATACATGTTTGCAAAATTTTAGCTTTCTATCTATCTATCACACACCCTTTGTCGTAGGTACCTCTTCCGGAGTGGAAGGATATATTCCATCTTAACACCAAATCTTATGTTGATAGAAATATGGGGATGTGCCGAGTTTGAAAGGAACTAGATGCTCATTTTTCGTTTTATGCGCTTTGTGGTTTTACAAAATGTTCACAACTTTGTGTGGGAGGAATCAGAAGAAGTGGATCGATATAGTCCATCTTCACAGAAGATCTTGTGTTATTAGAAATAATGGGATGTGTGAAATATGAAGAGAACCGGGTGCTTATTTCGGATTTTATAATCGTTTTGGTTATTCAAACTTAATAACATATCTTACCCCGATAGAAATTTTGAGATGAGCCAAGTCTGAATGGAATTCGATGTTAATTTTGCGTTTTGTGAGTTTCATGGATATTGAAAATGTTGTTGAAGTACCTGAAGGAGTGTTCCGATTGAATATCTTTACACTATACCTTGTGTTAATAAAAATATTGTGATTGTGAATATTTTATAAGAGTTATAATAAACATTTTGACTCTTTGGGGGGATAGGTAATTGGAGAGTGGACCGATATTGTCCACGTTCACACCTGACGTAGCATTGAAGCAAATGTTAGGATTTGCAAGGTTGGAGCAAAATCTTTTTCTTCCTGTGCAGTAAAATATATATATATATATTTTTTTTTTGAAAATTTCGACATTTTATGGAGGATTCACCAGAAAGAGGGGACCGATATTGTCCATCTCCGAACTCGATCTATGTTTGTCAATAATATGATGATGTAACAAGTTTGGGCCAAATCGGATACTCCCTTTGAAAGTTATGGAGCGCACCAGCCAGACGGACCGGCGGACGGGCGGACTGACACCTCTAGATCGACCCCAAACGTTCTGAAACGGTTTTGGTCCAACGGATTTGAACCTAGGGTCTAAAACCGTTATCAAATGATGAAACCACACACACACGCTGGCCGAATGTTGCTCTGCGGTATTTTGGTCCATTCCCGGCGAAGCGCTTGCTGGATGTGATCGACACTTTGGTTCTTTTTTAGTGTCAACCTTGCTTTCCAAAATACTCCAGACAAAATAGTCCAACGGATTTGTATCCGGAGATTTTGGTGCCCATTGTGCGCTGGAAATTAAGCAACCAAAATGTTTGCATGTCCAAGGCTTTAATATTTTCGCGATAATATCCGTCATATAGTCTGATGCACGGTCGATTAATACGAGCGGAGATCGGCCATCGGCTGTTAAGTCGGGCGGCCTACACAATCACCATGGCCGACGCTTGAGTTCTAGTGGCCAAACGATGGTGCACATTTTCAGCTGAACTCTTTGGGAAGTAAACACGATCATTTTGCTGGACAACGAATGTTTTCTCATCGCAGAAAAAGAAATTTGGAAGTTCACCACTTTCGGCCGAGCGAAGCAACTCTTTAGCTCTTTTGAGTTTATTTTCTCTTTGTTGCGGTATAAGTTCATGTACATTTTATACCCTCCACCATTCTATGGAGGGAATATTAACTTTGTCATTGCGTTTGTAACTCCTAGAAATACTAATATTAGACCCAACAAAGTGTATGTATTCTTGATCAGCGTAAAATTCTAAGTCGTCTGGCTGTTGTTATCACTCTATTTTTCGAACGAATTGAGATAGAAGGCTAAAATTTTGTACACGTGTTTATTTTACCAGTAGACAGTATTTAAGTTCGTAAATGGGTCATGTAGGTCCAAGTTTTCATATAGCTCCCATATAACGGTACCTCCATGTATTCGGTATTTTTTATGATTTTTGCGACATTATTCACTAGAATTGTTTCATGTTTGGCATTTGCAGTTCGTAAGGAATACTACACCCTATGACGGAAAATGGACCATGTAGGTCCACGTCTTCGTATAGCCCCCATATAACAGTACCTCCACATTTTCGGTATTTTGATGATTTTAACGACATTATTCACCGGGATTGTTTCAAATTTGGCATTTGAAGTTCGTAATGGATACGACAGCTTATGACAGAAAATTGTCTGTGCAGGTCCACGTCTTCGTATATCCCCCATATATTCGGTATTTTAATGATATTAGCGACGTTATTCACATAAATTGTTTTCTTAAAATTTGGCATTTGAAGTTCGTAATGGATACTACAGCTTATGACAGAAAATTGTCTGTGCATGTCCACGTCTTCATATAGCCCCCCTATAACGGTACCGCCCAATATTCGGTATTTTGATAATTTTAGCGTCGTTATTCGCCGGGAAGAAAACGAAACATTGCAACATTTTCTATGCCAATGCCCAGCGTTTGCAAATTTTAGATCCCAATTCTTAGGGAACGACTCCATACCAGACCTTAATCAGACCATGGTAAACGATATAAGACAGTTAAGAAATTTCATTAAGTCAACTGAATTTCAATTATAACAGACTGTAAACTGCCCGCCTTCTTCAAAAAAAAAACCCTTAGTCTAAGCGCACAAAAGGCCTATACTGGCCCAACAAGGCATGCGGCGAATTGCTTCGCCACTCTTTTCAACCTAACTTAATCTAGCCATATCTGACGGTAAAACCTACTGATATATTTTAAATTTTCTAAATAAAAGCTCGATCTAAATGTAATAGTAATATTACGATGTACGATATCAGGTACCAGACCTTTAATAGACTCCAAATTCCCTGTCGTGAAAATGGAAGTCTAGAAATTTGTTTTGGATGTGGCCTATCCTTTGTAGTCATAAGGCTTAGGCCAAAGACAATTTAAAATTTCCTGATCTACAGGTGTAAGGTATCACACCGTAATGCATTTTATTCTATGTTTTTTTTTTACATATATTGTGCAGCGAAAACAAAAAAAAAAAAACAAAATACATTAGCCTGTTGTCACTGAACGGTTATTTCATGATGGGTTTAAGCCTTTTTCAGGTTTTTTTTTTTTTTTTTTTTTTTTTTTTTTTAATTTGGTTATTTACATTTTTTTAAATCTCTTGTACGAATATCGTTAACATGTAATATGGAGGGAATAGCCCATGCAAGAGTTTTCAACTTCAACAACTGTTTTGGCTCGAAATTAGTTTATGAATGGCATGTCTCCAAAAAAGACCACTTCAAAATTGTATCGGATAGATGACCGATTTTTGTTCATTCATGACAATGGCTGCGTTTTTGCACTTTTTGTTGTTATGATTTAGTTTTCATTTTTTTTTTGCTCGACGATCGCTTCGTTGGTTATGATGATAACATCCATCCGACGTTTGCTCTCAAACAAAAGCAAAGCTCTTGGCTTTGGTTAACACAAACAGCCAGCCAGCCAGCTAACCAACCAGACCGCCATCCACCGCATATGTTTTTTTTTTCATACAACAGTTGTTGTCGGCTTTGGTTTTGCTCTTAGCGTTGATGTTTTCTGCTGTTGCTGCTGCCGTTTTGTTGTTGGCCTTTTTCGCTTTTTGTATTATTTACGAAATATTTGTTGTTGCTGTTGTTGTTGTTGTTTTTTTCGCTTTTTTCATTTCAGTTACAAGCCACCAACAAATTTCAATTTCGTTCAGTTACCACTCGGTACGGGTACTGAACTGTTGTATGGCCGCCAACCAATATTAGTCAACCAAAATCGAAATCGAACGAATAATATTTGCTATAATTTGTTGAAACTGAACTCCAATAAATAAAGGAATAAAATATCAAAAATTAAATAAATATTGACAACATTTTAATATATCCTGTGTACGATAAGTGTTTCACAACGAGCCAGTGATAGTGTTTAAAAAGATGTGAGTTTTAAAAAAAATAGTTAAAAATAAAAAAAGATATCTATAATTCGATATTAAATATATATAAATACTGATGGAAAATTAAATAAATTTTGAAGTGTTAAATTGAAATTGAATGTCAAACTACAAGGATATACTTAATTTTTTTTTTAAATTCAACTCAAAATATTATTATTTACATAAAAATATTAGAGGTATCCTTGGATCATCCAGGACTTGTAAGGATTTTAAATTGTAACCCAAAATTTCTCTCAAGGTAACATTTATTTTAAGCTCCTTAAAATTGCCTTTTAAACCTCATCCCGAAGTGGATAGCCTGTGGATTAGTTATGGGTTCAAGTATAATCTAAGCTATGGAGGTTAATTAACACCGACATCTAAATTACGCATTTTACACGCAGTTGGATATGCAAAAGGATAACAGAAAGACCCATGCGTACCTTTGATGATCTGCATCATTTTATAACGTACGCTAAGCTGCGGTACAGGGTATTATGTTTTTGTGAGAGATAGACCATAGTTCCAATAGCTGTCAAAAATATATTTTATCCAACATCATTTTTAAGACTACTAACAATGATATGCAGCATAAACTATCAGATAAAGAGCGGTTAAGACATCTTCGTCCGATTTGCACATACAACCAAATTAGGCATGAAAAAAAGTATGCCAAGTTTGATCGAAATCGGTTCAGATATAGCTATAGCTCCCATATATATTGTTCATTCGATTTGTTATTTTTGTCCTCCGCAGCCGTAATATGCACTCTGCAACAAGAATATTTGGGGAAATATATCAAATGCAGCTCAGAAATACCTTTGCTAAATTTTATCGTATCGGTTCAGATTTGGATATAGCTCCCACATATAACTTCGTCCGATTTACTTTTTATTGTGCACCAAACGTCTAATATTTGCCCAAATGGGATGCAAATCGGCAATTACAACCGAATTGAATCTAGAAGCTAGTATGCTAAATTTGGTGAAGATCGGTTCAGATATAGCTATAGCTCCCATACATATTTTTCATTCGATTTGTTATGTTTGTTACCCACAGCCGTAATAAGCACTCCGTTACAACGATATTCAGGGAAATATATCAAATACAGCTCAGAAATATCTTTGCCAAATTTTATCGAGATCAGTTCAGATTTGGATATAGCTCCCATATATATCTTTATCTGATTTCAAATTAATTGTGCACCAAATGGGCAATACAAGCTCGAATTTAAAAGATACAAATGCTTCGGCATATTTAGTTCTTTGAACTTTAAATTATAATTATAATCATAGCGTGTATGATTGAATTCTCCCATAACAACTTTCAATTGTTATGCGGAGCTCTACTAAATTAGCAAAGTGGTGTAGGGTATCATAAAGTCAGCCTAGCTCGACATTAGAACTTTCTTCATTGTTTTTTTTTTTATTTTATTGAATGAAAGCAAAAAAACGTCGGAGATAGCATCAAATTTTAGGATAAGTTTAGATTTGTTCGAACTGGTCACCTTTGGCACGAATTATGGCCAAATGTTTCTCTGTGGTATTTTGGCCCATTCCCGGCGAAGCGCTTGCTTGAGGCGATCGACTCTTTGATATTTTTTAGTGCCAACTTTTCTTTCCAAAATACTCCAGACGCAATAGTCCAACGGATTGGTATCCGGAGATTTTGGGTGCCGTTGTGCGCTATAGATGATGGGAGGAACCTCACTTTGTACCCATTCTTGTCCCACCCAGTTCTGGTGGCCAACCGAAGGTGCACATTTTCAGCTGACCTCTTTGGCAAGTTAGCACGATCATATTGTTTGTTTACAAACTGCTGGACAAGGAATGTTTTCTGTCAATGGAATAATTTTAACAGTTTTCGGACGAGTGGCTTAGAAGTAACAGCAGTCTCAAGTTGGTTGCAGTTTTTTCATCTCACGCTGTATATATATTCTTGATCAGTATAAAATACTATGTCGAGTCTGTGGATAAATAAATAAAATTTGATAAAATTTTACACAAATATATATTATGTCTGCAGGACTTTTGGTATTGAAAATGGGCCATGTAGGCCCACGTTTTGGACTATACCCATATAACGGTACCTCCCGATATTCGGCATTTTGATGATTTTAGCGACATTATTCGCTGGAATTATTTCATATTTGGTATTTGAAGTTCGTAATGGATTCTACAGCCTATGATAGAAGATAGTCTGTGCAGGTTCAAGTCTTGGTATAGCTCCCATATAACGGTACCTTCAGATATTCGGTATCTTGATGATTTTAGAGACATTATTCACCGGAATTGTTTCAACTTTGGTACCATATATATTGGTACCTTCGGATATTCGGTATATTGATGATTTTAGCGACATTATTCGCCGGAATTGTTTCAAATTTGGTATTTGAAGTTCGAAATGGATATTACAGCCCAAGACAGAATATTGTCTGTGCAGGTCCATGTTTTCGTATAGCCCCCATATATATTGGTACCTTCGGATATTCGGTATTTTGATGATATTAGCGACATTATTCACCGGAATTATTTTAAAATTGGTATTTGAAGTTCGTAATAGATACTACAGTCTATGACAGAAGATTTTCTGTGAGTGGACATTTTGAAGTGGAAAAGTCTGTATGGAGAACCTGTTTCAATGTGGATAGAACATCAAACATGTATTTGCAAATTAGTAATTAAACTAACAGCTAAGCTTCAAAATTTAAATTTATTTCCCAAATATTTCTCTATGAAAATTTAAATTTAATGTAAGCCTCGCATTATTAATATCGCACAGAATATATTTACAAACATTACAGTGTCAAGATACTCTACTCACATTGACAATTCCACAATAAATTGAATGCAGCCTCAACGAAAGCTCATTACTACATAGTCGAACAAAGTGTTTTACGATGACAAATTTGAACTCATGACATGAAGTAATTAAAAAATTGTGCATTTCTTTTTAATTAGAAAAAAATCCTATTTATTTTATTCAAACAATATGCACACATTGTGTTTTATTACAAAGTGCTGATGTAAAAACGAAAAAAAGAAAAGAAACTGCTGATCCAAAGCAAAATACAATAACAACACGATGGGTGTGAAAATCTTGGCAGAGATGAAAAAGTAAAAGTGACGAGAGATAGTCATCTAAATCTTCAACAGCATCCGTCCAGCATTAAAAGCCATGAGTAATAACAGCAACAGCATCTAAACAAAAGGTGGCGACATAAAAAACAATGATGAAAAAAAAACCATACTTTTACATACAACAACATTAACGTGAAAGAAAAACAACAACAACGTTCCCTACTCAAATGTCAACCTTAATAGTGTCCACCTTGATGTTTTTTTTGGCTCTTCTAAATCCCATAATCATGCATTTAAATGTGTTTTATCGCAACCTAGCATCTGTCCAAGCATTCATTCATTCGCCCATTCATTATCTGCCGCAATAAATCACACATCAAAAATTCAAAATTATCAAAAAAACAAGTAAGCAAAGGCTACAGTCAAGCGGGGCCGACCGTTGAATACCCTACAACACTATAATAAACCATACAGTTGATATAGGCGAGATACTCGAAAGAATTCCACAAGATTTTGTGACAAGTAATATAAGGAAACCATCAGGTTCCGTTCACTAATTTTCGAATAATAGCAACTTAAACTAATTCGCTCATTTCCAATTTAGTGGTAGATTTGCACGTAAATGGTCTTCCTAGATCTGGAACCAATATTTCCCAAAAAAATGAGAAACAGACATTTGATTATATTCTTCAACGAAATCAGCGTTAACGAAATAGTCAGAAGATCGTCTTTCCTGTATTTGTGAATTCCCCAAAAAGTCACTGGAATCGACATTTTCGTATTTTGTCTACAAAATTTGGCAAACTATTTCACACATTGAATATTTTTGGATGGCCATCCAAAACTGCTTGGCTTTTGTAATGTCCGGTAACCCCCATTCAAATATGCGTGAGGATCGGGCGACAATTTTGCAGTTTTTTGGTCCATTTCAACCCCTAAATATATGGCGATCATCTCCATGCAAAATTTCGTAAGGATCGGGCCATAAATGCGATCTGTATATGATATCCTGATATCCTAACTACTTAGTTTTGTTAGCTGTAGAAATATTACCAAATGTTTAATTCAAAATGAAAATATGCCAAAAATATGACAAAATTGAAAAAATATGAGAACATTTTACAAAATCAATATTTTCATCTTTAGAGAGATATTTTTGAGATTTTTTTAGACGCTTTTTCTTTCCTGCCAAGAGGCCATTCTAAACTAATGAGAACTTTTCAAATCAGTTCAGCCGTTCTCGACATATAAGAGATTTTTCAAGCATATCTTCTTTGATAAACATATATATCGCACATATTTTGCTATATATCCGTTTTGTTGGATGTTAACATCAGTGTAAAGATCAGAAGTAACCTTGTCATGGCTTTGTGATTTCGCCGGGATTTAAAATATTCGCGGTTTAATGAAAAATTTTGAATTTTTTCAACACAAAAGATATGGTATATTTTACCCGCTAAATGTTATCCGATGACCACCCAAATTGGTAGGCTTCTTCCCCGTCCTAAACTCTAGCTACATACGAAATTCCGCGTCGATTGGTCTATAATTGCGACCTGTATAGCTACTGCAAAATCCGACATTTTTTCAGTATTTGGTCCATTTCAACCCCTAAACATTTGGCGATCATCTCCAAAAGAAATAGGGTTCTATTCTGACCCCAGTCCCACCTCCATTCTAAATTTCGTGAAGATCGGGCCATAATTGCGACCTGTAGAGTGATTACAAATTAACATGGACAGACGGACAGACGGACAGACGGACAGACGGACGGACGGACATACATAGCTAGATCGACTCAGCTCGGCGAGCTAGGAAGATCCATATATACTTTCCTATGTGGGAAACCAATATTTCGAGGTGTTACATAATTTTTGGGCCAATCAAACTTATAATACCCCCAACACATAGTGTTGTAGGGTA